GGTGGTGATGGTGGTGCCAAAATTCCATTGTGGGGTCGATTCCGCTGTTGGGTCCACACGTCTAGTCGTCAGAAATGAGCTTAGAGCTTGATCATTCGAATCCTCCCGCCAAGATAAGGAGTTGTACAGCGCACATTCGCAGGGACATTCGCCAGTCGCCGATAGGACACATGCAACGATGGCTTCGCCACACGGGGGCGGACCCAAAGATCTAGATCGATCTTAAGCATATCAACATCAGATGACTATAACCATATCAATATCATAGTCCATAGCGGTTTGCCTAGACCATAATGCGGCCAGCAACGGGACTCATTGGGAGGACTGGACTTATATGACGTCAGTTATTGCCAACGCACTAGGTTCTGGAATATGGAATCAAGACACATCGCCTGTATGAAAGGACGTTCTGTGCCAATGTTCATCTCTCTAGGTAGTATTCTGTGCAAAACCTCATCCCAACCAAGACTCCAAACCAACCACTTTTTATCCTTGCTGATTGCATTTGCAACCAGTTGGGAGACGATGGACCATGTGCTTGTTTAGTCGCCCATCTGCGTGGCAGAGGACCCTCTTCTCGCTTGGATCCTACATCCCCATCAACAGAGCTTTTTCCTACCCCTATGCTCATTGTTTATTGCTTTGCTTGGCCGTGCTCATGACTGCGACATTTTCTCTTCCGACGGACCCAAGCAACCTTCCAGACTGGTGTGGAACCATTCCCGAGCCTCCGGCGTCTTTGTCAAGAGCATCAACGCCGTTATCACCGTTACATGCAAACACCAGACGAATCCTCCAACCACCCAATACCACGGGCAACATTGAATCACCGCTGGACACCTCCCGATCCGGCCAGGCCCGGCGAAACGCTGCCGTGAAAATCATCCAGGAGAAGTTCGGCGAAGCAAAGGTCGGAGTTCTCGACCCTCAACAGGTCCTCCGCGACTATGACGCTATCAGTAGTGCCAACAAGCCGGACTCCGTCGCCGCCGCTGCCGGCTTCGAGGATCGCTACAACTGCGTGACCGAGAAATTCGAGCCCGGTTCCGTGGCATCTATCCTCGTGGGCCTCTTTACCGAGATTCCGCGCTGGAAGCCCGGTTCGACCATCAAGTTCGCCGCGTACACGGGCGGATACCCACAACCCGGGGACGCCCAGTTTGCGGCCCTCCGTCTCTGGGAGGCGGCGCAGCAGTGGAACAGCTACGACCTGGGGGTCAGTTTCGACTGGGTGGGCAACCTGGAGGACGCGGCTTTCGTGCTCGAGTACGGCGGCGACAAGGGCGCCGTCCTGGCGAGGGCTTTCTTTCCCAATTCAAACCCTCTTAACACGCTGTCCGTGTACCGGCTGGCGCTACTGCCCACGCAACAGTACCGAGGGATGCTCAAAAACATCTTCCTGCACGAGCTGGGACACACGTTAGGCCTGCGCCACGAGTTCGCGTTAGATCCGGAACGTTGGGAAGGCGGCGCGGTGGTGTATGGATCGAAAAACGACAAATCGGTCATGAGCTATTTGTACCCTCCGCAGATGCAGCCGAGCGATATCACGGATACCAAGAACTTTTATGCGCTTCGGACGCTGGTTGTTGGGAGGCTGACTCTCAAGGACTACATGCCTGGATGATCAGGCCAGTGGATGTAAGATTGAAGATGAGGACTTGAGGATATTGTGTACTTTAGTATCTGGTAAATCTGAATTACGGGCGAGGCTTGCTGATATCCATGTAATGGCAAGGGGAGCACGCAAGGGGGAAGCACGTGGAGGCAGGCCGCATATGAATTGGTATAAGCCATGGCGTGAAAGTCACCAGGAAAGGGCTTGTAAGAGGCATGGCTCAATCTCTGCACCACCAGGTGGTCTGCTCATAACCTACCAAGTGTCCCTCGCTTTTCCGAAGCAGTCATGTTGGTCGAAACAGTCATGTTGGCCGAAACAGTCATGTTGG